TCTTGCTTCGTTTTCTCCAGGTTCACTTTCCGGCTGGCACCAACTTTAACGATAAGGTGGCCACTGACTTCCGCCAGCTAAGAGCACCTCCTCAGAACTCTGTGGTCAGATGGCAGTGGTCTTCTGCCTTCTTCACATATATTTGGAACTTCCATGCCCCAGTTGGCCGCATTTCGTGGTCTGATCCACAAACAGGGTACAGAATATTGCATATTAGAATGTAAGAACATAAGAATCTACCCAGTTATGGACCCATAAGGTCAGCCCAGTTTGCCTTCCACCAACCTGGCAGTCGGATGACATGTTGTGTTCCAACTATATATTATATCCCGAGATATTATTCCCTAACAGAAATCTATTTAATTTGTTCCTGAAAGAATCAACACTTTCTGCTTCCACATCTCCCTCGGGAGCCTGTTCCATATGTTTATAACTTCTCATTATTTTCTCCATTATAAATATCCAAACTTGACAGGGCAGCACTTGCTATTCTCCAGCTAGCAATTACCTATTTCTTTTTAAATGGAGATTTAGAAAAACAGCAAATTCTAATCACATTTTACAGCAATTACAGTGTGACCTGGAATCTTTGTTTCCCATTCATAACACAAAACACAAAATACTGCAGATGCTGGAATCTGAAACAAAAATAGAGAGAGCTGGGAAAACTCAGCAGGTCAGGCAGCATCTATGGAGAAAGGAAAGTGAGTCAACGTTTCAGGTCCACAACCCTTCGTCTGATGCTGCCTGATCTGCTGAGTTTTCCCAGCTTTTCCCATCCATAACACAGCAGCTATCAATTCCCTGCTGCTGTCTGCTTTGCAGTAACATGATGTTGAGCTGCATTTCTTCACAGGGGCCTTGTTTAAAGAGTACAACAGCAACGACAATTTGCACTTTTATAGCGCCCTCCATGCAGGGTAGCGTCTCAGAGCACTTAACAGTGGCGGAGCCTGACTCGAAGCCGGGGAGTGGGGGGAGGTGGCTGTAGGCACAGTCGAAGAAGAAGGTTTTCAGACGGTACTTGAAAAAGGGGAGAGAGGGGGCAAGACAGAGGGGTTGAGGGAGAGTGTTCCAGAGTTTTGGGGCATAGCAGCTGAAAGCTCGACCTCCGATGGTGGGGTGGAGTGTGTGAGGGACGAGCAGGAGGTCGGTGCCAGTTGAGCTGGATTGGGGAGTGAGGAGTTTGGAGAGGTACACAGACAATGTTATAATAAAGGACATTATATGTTCAGATATTGCCTTACAGAATGCCTAAAGTTAATTAATTTATGCAATGGCTAATATTCACCCTATGTGAAACAAAAAAAATCTTGCTTTTGATTCAGCGCCTTTCACATTAACAGGATGTCTCAAAGAGATTCAAAAGATATATTGTAAAGTGGTCACTGTGTATATTTTGGGCAAACACAGCAGCCAATTTATGCATTACATTGTTTCACATACAACCATAAAAGTGAAAGACCAATTTTATTTGGGGGATTGCTGACCAGGAAACTGGGAGAAACGCTCTTCTCTTTTCAAAAGAGATGGAGTCATGGGATGTTACACAACAACACAACAAATTACATTTGTATGGCGCCTTTCATGTCAGGAGGACATCCCAAGGCTCTCGACAGTCAGGGATTTTGACCCCAGCAGGGGGGGTTGGGATCAGGGGGATGGAAGGCAGGGAGGGTAGGGGAAGGAGGGTAACCAAAGGCATCCTTGAAGAGGAGAGTTTTGAGACATGCCTTGAAGGAGGCAAGAGAGGGGGTTAGGTGAAGGGACTGTGGGAGGGAGTTCCAAAGAATGGGGGCAGAGAGGCTGAAGGCCCAATCATCGATAGTGGGGTGGGCCGGGGGGGGATTGCTGTTTGGGTCTGAACCAGTGAAGGACTTATTGGAATGTGAGCCTAGACAATAAGAGATCTAAGTTCAAGGTGGGACTTAACTCACAACCTTTTGATTCACACATGAGAGTGCAACTAACTGAGCCAAAGTGACAGGTTAGAAATAATTCACTTTTAGAAATGTTCACAGTTAATGTCTCATCATTGCTATTCCATTCAAATCGTCTTGTTAATAAAATGGTGGGGAAGGCACAATGCAAAGCAGAATAACATGTCATGAAATATTTCTCTGTGTCTTGAAAACAGCACGACCCTGTGGTTCTCTAGATAAACTTGCAGGCTTATGTTTAAGAACATTAACTGGATTCATTACATACAACGGAATTAATGGTTAATCTTTCAAAGAGCCATAACAATTAACAGCTGTCTGCTTTCACCGTTTGCTTTTACCCGTTATTTGTCCTATTATATTATTTCATAACAGCCGTCTGTCTTGGCATATAAATCCCACTATAAGGTCACAGGTGGAATATTTAAATGAAGCAGAACTAAGGCAGACAAACTCTCAATATCAGATGACATTGAACACTTAATTGCCTTGAGTAATATTATAGGGCATGGCAACAAGAATTGGAGTGGAATTAGATGTGTACCATAACAGCAACAAAATTACATTTATAGAGCCCCTTTCACATCGGGAGGACATCCCAAAGCGCTGGACAGTCAGGTGTCGGCGCCCGAGCATGGGGGAGGGGTGGGATGGGGTGAGGGAAGGCATGATCGAAGGGAAGGGTCTTGAGACCAGCCTTGAAAGAGGCAAGGGAGGAAGCGAGGCGAAGGGACTGTGGGGTGGAATTCCAGAGTGTGGGGTTGAGAGGCTGAAAGCCCGGCCACCAATGGTAGGTCGGGAGACATGGAGCAGACCGGAGCCCACTAAATGGAGGGAGTGAGCAGGGTGGTAGGGAGTCAGCAGGTCAGAGAGGTAGGAGGGGGCAAGGCCATTCATGGCCTTGAAAGTGAGGATGAGAATCTTCAATTTGATCCTCTGGGGGATGGGGAGCGAGTAGAGTCGGGCGAGGGTGGGACTGATGGGGTCGTGGAGCCTGGTGCGCGAGAGTACACGAGCTGCAGAGTTTTGGATGATCTGCAGCTTGTGGAGGGAAGAGTTGGGAAAGCCGATGAGAAGGGAGTTTCCGTAATCGAGCCTTGATGTGACAAATGCATGGGCAAGGGTTTCGGCAGTCTGAGGGGTGAGGCAATGGCGGAGTCTGGCAATGTTGCGGAGATGGTGTTGGCAGTGCTGGTCATAGCGTGAATGTGGGGGAGAAAGGACAGTTCAGGGTCAAACAAGATACCCAGGTTCCTGACTGGCTTAGTCAGGTTGAGCGTGCAGCCGTGGAGGCTGATGCTGCCAGCGCTTGGGGTGCCTTGGTCAGGAGGGCCTCGGTCTTGCTGACGTTGAGTTGGAGAAAGTTGTCCCTCGTTCAGGACTTGATGTTGGACAGGCAGTGGGTCAGGACTCCAGTAGTCCTGGAGTTCAGGGTGGAGGCAGAGAGATAGAGTTGGGTGTCATCCGCATACATGTGAAAATTTACCCCATGTCTATGAATGATGTCACTAAGGGGGATCACCTAGAGTGCAGTTATACAGTTATGAGGCCATGACATGAAGGGGGTGCTCAGGCACAAAAGGCAATGCAGACAAGAGCAACGGTAATTAACAACTGGAACACGTTGCAGGAAGCTTACTTGCTGATGGACATGGGACAAACCAAAAAGCTGCTCTTAAATTGGTACTAAATTTGACATATAGGTTACATAAAAATATTGTAAAACCACAACTTATACTGTTTAGCACCTTTCAGAAGATGACAAGATTGAGACTAGGACACTGGACTCATTTGAAAAGCAGCTTGATGGAGTAGAAGTATGATGAGATTAGATGGATTAAAGGGACTTCTTCATCCAAATGAATCTTGTCATCTTATGAAAGGTGCTATAAGTTGTTTTACTATATTTTTATGTAACCTATATTTCAAATTTACTACCACTTTAAGAGCAGTTTTTTTGGTTTGTACCAACCTCATCTGCAACATAGCTGAAGATAGCCAACCTCATTTTCACAACTTGCATTTCATGTTGGATTACGTATCTGAGAAGTTCGCAAAGGTGGAGTCAGAGGTCAAACAAGGGAGCAGGGGGGGAGGGGGAGGAGTGAGTAGGAAAGAAAGAGGTTACAACAGTACATGTAGCAGCAACAATAATTTGCACTTACACATAGCCTTTTGTGCTTTCTCAAAGTACTTTATACATAAAAGGTGTACGATGGCAAGTAGCAGAGAGGGGCAGGTGACCAAAAGCATGGTCGAAGAGGTAGGTTTTTCAGAAGGGTTTTGAAAACAGGGGGATTGGGTACATGGCAGAGTTTCAGAATGGGGGCATAATAAGACAAAAAGGAGATTTTCACCCTTCAGGCCTGGGTTAGATTCATACCAAGACCCAGATGTGAAGTGGATATTTACTGTGGAATCCAGTCCCTTTTGTGAGTTGTTACTTCCGTTGCTATCTTCTCTGTGTTTGAATACTGATCTCACCTTTGATTTCTGTGACATCCGCGTCCAATTGGAGTTCCAGAGAGTCGCCCACATCACGTTCAGTGATCATTAATTACAAATACTTTTGCAAATTTCACAACTTAGACCTCAATATCTAGTCACAAGCTCATGAAAAGAAGTTACATTTGCTGTCTTCTGATGGTTGTATTATTAGCCTTGCTAGGAAACAATAAGGGGTCAGGGTTAGACAATTTCTGTTGCTGTAATTTCTCTTAAACACTGGTTAACTTATTGAATGAATATCTGAACTCTATCTGTCTTTTTGTGTTATGTCTTTGCATTTTTGTGTTATGAATTAGAAATTAAATATCCTTTCAGTCTCCTGACTTTTCATTTCAATATCTCCGACTCACAAATTGAGCCTGCACTGTCCTCAATGTGGGAGGGAGGAGGGGCTTCCTATTACAGGGGTATTACAGGGGGATTAATCCTGGCACTTGGTGCCAGGATCTCATCGGCTAAATAGACGTATTGTATTCACTTGCATTTGAGGGTTGTTTCAGCTTGTCAGTTTAAGAGGCACAGAGAGAGTAAAAACTATCCAACAATTTTCAGTCTGGATGCACGGAAACATTTTCGGATTAATTTTCCCAAACAAAGTGCCATGTGTCTTAAGCCTCTGCCGAATAATACCATGATAGGCAGCGTGGAATCTGGGAAGAACAACTTCACCCTCCACAATGATAGTCTGGACATCGCTGTGTCCAACTCATCCTTGAAGTTCCCAACTCTCAGCATTTCAGGTATCATCAGAGTGGCAATCACCTTCACCCTTTTCATCCTCTCTATTGCAATGAATGGGATTTTTTTGCTGAAGCTATCCAGGCAACACAAGAAGAAGGCATCACGTCTGAAGCTGCTGCTCGATAATCTCATGGTAGCTAACTTGGTGGAGACTATAATCGTGATGCCGATGGATGGTATATGGAACATTATGGTGCAATGGTATGGTGGGCAGTTTCTTTGCAAGGTCCTCAATTTCCTCAAGCTCTTCTCCATGTACTCTCCCGCCTTCATGGTAGTGGTAATCAGCATTGATCGCTGCCTGGCTGTTACAAAGCCCTTGAAAAGTGCAACACAAAGTACTCAAATTAGGAAATATATGATTTACACAGCCTGGCTCTTCAGCTTTGTCCTGGCTTTACCTCAGGTGGGATATCTCTGCTGTTGTATCTATTGTTTAAATTATTTTTTGCATTTTTTTGAGATTCTAAAGGTTATTTTAACTATTGTTACAGAATCAATTAAGCAATATTATCCCCGCTTGTATTTTATCTCTAACCTAGTCTAAGGAAACTTTTGTTGTTTGATTAGTGATGAAATAATCTGTGCAATTTGGATGTTAAACAATCATTTCCTTTATTATAGTTCAACATCAATGATTTTACAATGGATTATGCCATTATCACTGGAGGCAATAATGGTAGCAATCAGGCTTTGGAGAATTAAGTAGTGATCAGCTTCCTATCCCTAGGACAGCAGCAGGCAGTTGTGAATGGGTCTTTATTGCATCTGCATCTCATTGACACTGGCTAGACCTCCCTCTATTATACACAAAAAGTCTAACTTCTTCATGTAGTGAGGCACGTATCAGAGAACTCATTTGTCCAATTATCCATTATAAACTTCACACCAGGGTCAATGGTGTTTTCACCACAAAAGTATGCCAATTCTTGTTATCTTTCCTTCTCTTCGAGTGAGGTCGAGAGGTTAAACCAAGAATATATTATCTGTGTGACAAGCCAGAGACCATAAACCATTCTTTGAGGTCAAGGAGTGAACACATGGACACATTCTCCATGAGAAAAAACATCTCCTATTCTTTGATGAAGCAACTCAAAGGCGCCAAATATCTTCATTACTGTTACGCAGAGTTAGCATCTTATTTTAACTCCTTACAGTCCTTATATTAGTTTTCTAAAGGAATAATATAATACTGCCCTGATCCTACAATCCATAACTTATATATAACAATAGCCTTTGGTATTTTTTAAAATTTGTAAATTTCCTCTTTATAATATCTGCATCAATAATTTGCACAGTGCAATTTATGTTAATTAAGATGACAAAATGATTGGTCGGGGAACAGAGTATTACAAAGCTCCTCTGTAAAAGTGGATGAACATAAGCTATGTTAATGCATTGTTTTTGTAGTGGTGTCAAATGATAATGGTGGATTTTGCAGTGTGTGATATGACCATTATTTGTTGATAGCAAATGTTATATTATTATTATTGAGGCATGTGCCTCAATTTTCTCTCCCAATTCTATTGGACACTTACCATCATACAAACAAAGTCAATAGGTAATGTTACTGTATCCCCTGACAAAGTCAATGTATATTGCAGAGTATTGACCTGCAAGCTAGGCTGGGTTGCTTAACAAATAAGTTTGTTTTCTCTTCTTTCTTGCAGTTGTGGCTATTCCGAATGATTCACTATTCCGAACCCTATGCTTTCTCACAATGCAACACTCTTAGAAGTTTTTACAACCAGTGGGACCAGACTATTTACAATTTCTTCACTTTCGGATTTCTCTTTGTCATTCCTCTCTTCATCATGCTATTCTGCAATTTCAAGATCATCTTCAAAATGATGAAGATTCTGCGTCACAATGTTAATGGTATGATGATATAGATACACTATAGTTATGTTTTCCACCTTGGTTCAGAAAGCTACAATGTGTTTATTTCCAAATATACCTTTTAGGTTTAAAGACGTTACAACAGGATTATAAATACAAAATATAGTAGTTGCTAAGAGATCTAAAGATGTATTTAGGAGGAACTTCTTTACAGAGAGTGGTGAGAATAATAAAAATAATCCTTGCATTTAATATAGCACCTTATCAGATCTTCGAGATGTTTCAAAGCGCTTCACAGAATATACTGTAAAGTGAATTGACTGTATATTTTGTGGGCAAAACACGGCGGCCAATTACGCACAGCAGTGTCCCATGAACAGTCGTGGATTGAAGTGATCAATTTTTTTTATACGTAAGAATTATTACTCCTGGGAAAACGATCCGTCAATCAACTAACAATTGTGTTCCTACTTACTGCTAGGTAAACGGAGGAGTGTGGTGTAAGGAAACTTCACCAACATTTCTCCATGACGGGAACTGACCCCAGATCTCGCTTGCAAAGCGAGTGTTCTAAACACTCTAAACATCAGGAATCCACAACTCAAGACTGTGCAACTCACTCACAGAAGCTGTGGTTCAAGCAGAAAGCATCAATTCATTCAAGAGGAAATTTGATGCATATATGAAAGAGAAGGGAATAGAGAAGTATGGGGAGGTTAGGGAGGGAGCATTAGAATGGGGGAGTCTCGTGCAAATTACAAATACAACCAAGGTCTGGTTGACCGAATTTCAGAGCTGTATGGTCTATGTAATTCTATTTAAGAGAAATTAAACATTGAATTACATGTTTTAAAATAGTTCTCTATTAAAAACAAGCAATGATTATTATTAAGTGAATAAAAATACATTTGAAATAAATAGTTATTAGATAATATTTATCTAATGGCCAGTTATCATTTTTTAAAACTTTAAAACTTCATGAGATACAATTTTAATGTATTAAAGAAATTATAGTCTGATGTACACAGTTAAATTTGGTAAATCCAGCTCAGAGTATTACATTTACCCACCATGGGAGAGTGTCATTGCTTTCTCTTTATATATGTATATAAATAAATATTATATATAATATATATATGTGTAAAACTGAGTTCACAGGATTTTTCACAGGACATTTCTTAACGAGTTGCTTAAGTGCCAGTAACTTTTGGTGTGGCTCTGTAAACATTTGTTTCTATCCAAGAAACTGGTAATATCACTCATATACATGCAAATAAGCCCCATATCAGGATACATCAAAGATGCCCACAATTAGGGCAAATTAAGCTCAGGTCTAACATCAGACCATATAGAAGTGCTCAATGATAACATCAGACAGGAACAGAGGTGTGACTCTGCACTGCCCATGACTTACCATGCAGTCAACTGCTCTGCATGAGGGGCACTATATAAATGCAAGTTGTTGTTGTTCTTGCTTTCCTGGTTCCACTCCCGGTAGTTTCACTTTGTCTTTTCCAATGACTTATCCACCCACCCCCACAGTCATATGAGCATTCCTCAGGGCTCTATCGTTGGTCCTCTCCTCTTCACTACCTATCTGCTCCCACTTGGTGACATTCTCCACAAACATGGGATTCACTTCCACATATATGCAGATGAGACCCAACTCTACTTTTATGCCTCCTCCCTTGATTCTAGGTGCACTGTTGTTTAGAACAGTTGCCTGTCAGGCCTCAAGTCCTAGATGAGCTCTTAACTTTTTTCTGGTGAATGTCAACAAGGCAGAGGTTCTTCTGCTTGGCTCCTGTCAGTATCTTGCCACCTCAGGCATTGACTGCGTCAACTTGCATTGAAGCACGATCCACTTTACAGAGCCAGTGGATGACTTTAATATCATTTTTAAACCCAGCTGCCCCTCAAGCCCTATATTCAAAATCTCACGTGCTCAGCTTTCCCTTAGCTCCGCAACATTACCTGCCTCCGCCAATACCTCTCCTCCAAGCCACAGATACTCTGATTCACGCTTTTATCGTGTATAGGATTGATTATTCCAATGCTCTGCTCACTGTATTCCCCCACCCTAAGCTTCGCAAGAATATCACCTCCGTCCTCGTTTGGCTCCACTGACTCCCATCCGCTTTTGGATCAAACTCAAGTTGATTCTCACATTTAAATCCCTACATGGCCTTGTCCCATTCTTCGTCTGAGACTTCCCACAACACTATCAACCCAACCGCTCTCTCCATTCAGTGAATACTAGCCTGCTTCATATCCTCTGTCTGATCCTCCTCACCATCGGTGGGTAAGCCTTCAGCCATTCTGGCCCGGCTCCCTGTAACTCCATCTTGGAATCTCTATGCCCCACTTCTTCTCCACAATTTTAAAGCCCACTTTAAGGCTAACCTCTTCAATCACACTCTTGATCATCTTTTCCCACACCCAGCCTCTTGAGCTCTCCCCCTCCCGGCCCCCCATCAGCTGCCTAGCCAGCTGTGTGAAGTTTGAGACATCCTTCCAGTGTGAAAGGTGACACATAAATGTAAATTGTATTGGGCACTATTATCAGGCTATCTGTAGGAGTACACTGATACTATCAAGCTCTATAATCAAGCTATCAATAGGTCCACAGCATTACTGTTGAACTATATGTAGTTTTACAGTGATGATGTATGAGTATTTACAAATAGTCATTATACCTGACCAACTCTGACCAAGCACATTGAAGCATTTCAGCAACTTGAAAGACATTATACCAATGCAAGAAATATTATTTTTATCAGTGATAAATGGTTCGATGCTGAAAACATGATTTTGTTTAACACTGGAGTTATAAAATTGATATAAAGTTGCACATGCCTGGAGTTGGGTAGGATTCGCAAACAACAATTGCTGCTAGTAACTAACAATGCATCACACTGCAGAAGTCTGCTCCAATACTCCCTGAAATAATAATAATAATCCTTGTTCAAATAATAATAGTAATCCTTGCATTTGATATAGCTCCTTTTCACGTTGTTGAGAAGTCTCAAAGACCTTCACAGAATATACTGTGAAGTGAATTGACTGTATATTTTGTGGGCGAAACATAGCAGCCACAGCGGTGTCGCACAAACAGTCATGGATTGAGAGACCTAATTTTATTTTGAAGGGATTATTACTCCCAGAAAGCGATTTGCCAATCGACTATTAACCGTATTCCTACTTACTGTTAGATAAACAGAGACATGTGGAGAAAAGAAATTCACCTAAGTTTTTGTCCTGCCCGGGAATTGAACCCAGGTCTTTTCGCTTACAAGGCGAATGCTCTAACCAATACCCTACAGGATTCCATAGAAATAAATGTATTAGCATGGTCTTCCAGTGGGTCAGTAAAAGTTACTGTGTGCGTATTGTAGTAAAATATGTAGACTTCATCTTGTGCTGACTGTGCTAATTTATTTTGTACATTATAACAGAGCAGTTTGTTTACCGACAGCTCTCTCCAGTGGCAGCGATTGTTAACTGCAGCACCAAATAACAATAATAATAATCCTTGTATTTGATATATCGCCTTTCATGTTGGGAAGACATTTCAAAGCATTTCATAGGACTTTTACTGTAAAATGAAGTGACTATATTTTGTAGGTAAATATTTTTAGATAATTTTTGGCGAAATAAACCCCTCTTGCTCCACCTCCTCAGATTTCTCCTCTCCTATCTCTCCCTCCACATCCACTCTGCTGCCTACCCTTGAACCTGGTGATCACCCAGAGCCTCAGCGTCTCGGATGTCACCATCACCGACAAGGCCATCTCTGACCACCATTTCATCTCCCTCAACTCCTATATCCCTCTCCCCACAGCCTTCAAACCTACCACCATCTTCTACCGCCCATGGAAGAAGATCTCCCCACAATCCCTCTCCACTGCCCTGGAGTCCTCTGAACTTCTCCCCCTCTGTCCCACCTCCCGCACCAACCCATCCTCTGTACTTACTCTCCTCCACAGCACCCTCTCCACCACCCTTGATGCCTTTGCCCTCCTCACCTCCCTCACCCTGGTTCACCAGCCACCTCCGCTCGCTCAGGGTCCTTCAAGGCCGGTCTCAAAACCTTTCTCTTTGACCGTGCCTTCAGCTCCCCTCTCGACTCTCTTCCCCCTCCTCGCTCGCTCCCTCCCTTCCCTCCCCTCACCCTGACCATTTCCCCCCTCCTCGCTCCCTCCCTTCCCTCCCCTCACCCTGACCATTTCCCCCTGCTCAGGTCATGACCCAACTGTGCAGCGCCTTGGGACGTCCTCCTGACGTGAAAGGCGCTTTATAAATGGAATCTTGTTGTTGTTGTTGTTGTTGTCCAGGTGCGGGCTGCCGAATGCATTAGGCTCAAATCCAGCCTAACGGTCCACCGGCACATCTGGCTGGACCTCATCAAAACCTACCGCTCCGGCCTCAGCCAAATCGTCCTTCTACTCCAGCTTAATCCTGGAGGCGAAGGGCAACCCCAGGTTACTGTTCTCCACCACCAACCGGCTCCCCCACCCTCCCTGCCACACCTCACAGACTCTTCCCTCCATCTCCCACTGCGAGGAAATGCTGGACTTCCTTGAGTCCAAAATCGAGGGAATCCACTCAGCTGCCAACTTCCACACCCTCCCTACCCGCCCCCAAACCTTGACCACTACCCATCCCTCCATCCACACCTTTGAACCTGTCACCCCCTCCTCTGTCATCACTACTATATCCTCCATGAAGCTCACTACCTGCTCCCTGGACCCCATCCCCTCCCCTCTCTTTAAATCCCAGCTCCACCTCCTTGCCCCACTACTCGCCGACATCATCAACCTCTTTCTGTCATCTGGCACTGTTCCTACCCTCCTCAAAACAGTCACTATCTCCCTCACATTGAAGCAACCTTCCCTTGACCCATCACAGCTATCCAGCTACTGGCCCATCTCAAACCTCCCTTTCCTATCCAAGATCCTTGAGAGAGCCGTTGCCTCCCAGCTTTCCTCTCCTCCCACTTCCTCCATGAGCCCCTCCAGTCAGGTTTCCGTGCTGCCCACAGGACAGAAACTGCTCTGGTCAAGGTCACAAATGTCATCCTGACCGTGTGTAAGCAGGGCTCCCTCTGCCTCCTCGATCTCTCCACTGCCTTTGACACCGTGGACCACTCAATCCTCCTCCACTGCCTCTCCTCCCACCTCAACCTTCAAGGTTCTGTCCTTGACTGGTTCAGGTCCTACCTTTCACATCCTCTCCACTTCGTTTCTGCAAACAGCTTTTCCTCCAGTCCCCGCACTGTCTTGTGCAGTGTTCCTCAGGGTTCTGTCCTCAGTCCCCTCCTCTTCACCCTCTACATGCTCCCCTTTGGTGACATCATCCACAGACATGGGGGAAATTTCCACATGTATGCAGATGACACCCAACTCTACCTCTCTGCTTCTACCCTGAACTCCAGGACTACTGGCGTCCTGACCGAGGGACAACTTTCTCCAACTGAATGACAGCAAGACCGAGGCCCTCCTGATTGGCTCGCACCAGCTCCTCTGCACCTTGGGCGCTGGCAGCATCAGCCTCCACAGCTGCACACTCAACCTCACTAATCCAGTCAGGAATCTGGGTATCTTGTTCGATCCTGAACTGTCCTTTCTCCCCCACGTCTGTGCCATGACCGGCACTGCCTACCACCACCTCCGCAACATTTCCAGACTCCGCCACTGCCTCACCCCTCAGGCTGCCGAGACCCTCACCCACGCATTCGTCACATCAAGGCTCAATTATGGAAGCTTCCTCCTCATCAGCCTTCCCAACTCTTCCCTTCACAAGCTGCAGATCATCCCAAACTCTGCAGCTCATGTACTCTCGCGCACCAGGCTCCATGACCCCATCACACCCACCCTCGCCTAACTCACTGGCTCCCCATCACCCAGAAGATCAAATTCAAGATCCTCGTCCTCACTTTCAAGGCCATCCATGGCCTTGCCCCCTCCTACATCTCTGACCTGCTGATTCCCTACCAACCTGCCCACTTCCTCCGTTCAGCGGGCTCCGGCCTACTCCATGTCTCCCGCCTGACCCGCCCTACCATCGGTGGCCGGGCTTTCAGCCTCTCTGCCCCCACACTCTGGAATTCCATCCCACAGCCTTTCCCCTCACTTCCTTCCTCCTTCAAGGCCAGTCTCAAGACCCTCCTCCTTGATCGGGCCTTCAGTCACCCTCCCACCTCTCTGCCTTCCCTCACCCCTACCCCACCCCTATGCTCGGGTCCTGACCCCTGACTGTCCAGCACCTTGGGACGTCCTCCCGACATGAAAGGCGCTCTATAAATGTAATTTTGTTGTTATTGTTGTTTTGGTCAGCTGGATGCCTGACACATGCAGAAACTCATCACCATGCTTAGGATTATCCAAACAAAATAGAATTCCATGCATCCCACCTAGACCTGGAAACTCCAGAGATATTTATCAGAATGGAAAGGCACCCTCTCTCCCTGGAGGGATGCATCCTGCTTACCTAATTCCGGAACAGTTTGAGAAGAGCCAAGGTTTGGGTACCCCAGAGTGTGCATTGGGTTCCCAGCTAAAACCGCATAGCTTGCCATTGAGAGCACTGTCTGGCAAGTTTATCCAGCTAGGACCACCCTATCCGTTAGTGCTTTGGCTTGCAGTGTTAACAACAGCTGAGTGGGATGACTCTCTATCCCCAGTGACTGGTCTGCCCTTCCAAGTCCTGCTGCTGAGCTTGACTGCCTGTGCTGTCATCAGCAGTGCCCTGGAATACTAAGACCGCCACAGAGGACTGGCTCCATTCCAATATTCCACTGCCAAACATGTCACCGTGAGGCCAATTCAGCTCCAAGGAGAGACCCTACTTACCTCTCCCACACGGAGAATAGTCACTAGTTGGTCGATTGACATCGGACAAACGTAGGTTTGAGCCCTCATTGAGTGGATGGTAGGTACCAGGAACTCCCTGCGAGCTTTCTGGTGGGCAATACATCTCAGAATGAAATGCTTGAGAGCATTGCCATCATCTTCCTGCCCGCAGCTCAGGCACACTCCGCTTCCAATTGAGCAATGGTTCCACCAGTTAGAGGTGCAGAGTTTAAGTAGCAGCTACTTACCTCTCTGCAGGCCAATCAAGATGGATTCCAGGTGCTGGGTGTACAAATGTGTGTTCAAAAACTCGGACTCCTGGTAACTCCAGGAGCTTTCCATTAAGTATTTAGTGGGTGCCAGTATTTAATGCTGACCTATTCACCATTTAACAGAGTCCTGATTTTTTTTAAAAAGAGTAATTACTTCCTTGTTTTACAGAGATAAGTCTAAACCGATCAAAGAACATTATCCCACAAGCTCGCATGAAGACCTTGAAGATGACCATTGCGTTTGTCACATCTTTCATCATCTGCTGGACTCCATACTACCTGATAGGAATCTGGTACTGGATTGATCCTGATTTGCACAATAGATTGCCTGAACCTATGAATCATTTCTTCTTTGTTTTTGGGTTACTGAATCCCTGCTTTGATCCTCTTATTTATGGGTATTTTTCTCTTTAGTCAGTTACTGCAATGCAATGTGTTTTCTATTTCCAATGCTATGTTTTGATTGCTGACTTCATATCCTGTTGCTCTCGGTGTAATTCATATTGGAACATTCCTAAAACATTTGTAACCCAAGGATTAGATTTCCTCAAGGAAAGAAATCCCTTTTGGATTATTCATTATTCAGATAACCAGCACAAGGGACACAAGGATCTTGTTGCATCAGTCTAATATCTCTCTAAACAACATACTGGCAAATTCTTGAATCAAGTCCCAAAATAAGATTTAATATGTGTTTAAACTAATGGTGAAAGTTATTGTAAAGGAAACAAAGCATCCAGAAATATAGGGCAGCAGAGTACAGTGCGGTGTAATTGACTATCAAAGCATAACATGCTATAATCCGTCCTTTGAAAATTACTGGAAAGTCTTTCTTCAAAGTTGCAGGATTTCTACTTAAGGATCTATGAGGATACCTTGCTTAACCCCCAGCCCTATATCTGGGGTCTCCTAGCTCAGTTTTCTTTCATGCTGGAACATCACCCACCTTCACCTGGGCTGGTGAGACCCTCATTCATATCTTCATCGTGTCCAGGCTTGACCATTCCAACTCCCTACTTGCTGGACTCCCAGCTCCTCCTTATAGAAGCTGCAGACTATCTAAATTATGTAGCCCCTGTCCTTTCCTGCACCATGCTGTGCGAGCCTGTCACCCCACCTCAGCTACACTGGCTCCCCATACTCCAATGGACCAAGATCCTCGTCTTCACGTTCAAATCCCTCCACTTTCTCCCCTATCTGCCTCTGTGATCTTCTGAAACCCTATCAACCTAACCACTTGCTCCACTCGGTGAACACCAGTCTGCTTAGGGTTTCCCACCTGATCTGCCCCATCATCAGTGGGAAAGGTTTCAGCTTGTTAGTCCTCACTCTCAAACTCCATCCACAGTCTCTCTGACTCTTCCCCACTCATCATTTTTATAGCCCACCTTAACACTTACCTTTTAATCCACATTTTCAGTCATCATCCACCCTACCTCACCCACCCGCCAGCGAGCTGTGTAGAGTGCTTTGAGACATCCTCCTGATATGAAAGACATTATATAAATGTAAATGATATTGTATTGTATTTGCAGACAATGGTCTTAAGGTTATGACTAAGACTTCTGGCTTCTGGTTCATGGGAATCTGAAGATGCATTTTTTCCATCAGAGATATCTTCTGCCGTAATAATGTATTATCAAACTTTTATTGGCTTTACTCATCTTCATAGTCCTTGCCCAGTCATTTCACAGTACAACGCTTGCAGAATGGGATGCATTGTGTGGGTTCCAAATGCTGAAATATGTCTTTGCATTACAGGAGCTAAACAATTCCACTTCAAAGAAGCACAGTCATCTTTGTTTCCCTATCATTTTCATTGACTTATCAGCACTTCAGGATGCAAAATTCAGTTGCGTGTGTTGTTATTCATTCATAGGTAGACTGTAATTTTAAATAATTCCAAGTTCACTTCTGATTGAATATTGTAGTTCGTTATTCCCTATCTGGTTGGTCGGGTCAAGGCATTTACTGCCAACGTGATTGTCAAAAAGAACCAACACTCGTATATTGAAAAATCACTTTCCAAGGACTTCTATAAATGTAAATTTGTATTATATAGTCAAACACTAATTTCCACTCAAAATGCACCCTTCCTTTCTAAAGTTCTGGAACCTATTGTTGCCACCCAACTTTGCTCACACCTTTCCTCTCACTTCTTCTCGAGCCTCTCCAGTAAGGTTTCTGTCCTACTCGCAGCACTGAGACAGTGTTAATTAAAGTCACAAATAATGTCCTCTCTCCCTGTGACCATCCCCATCTCTCATCCTTCTCCCTTGCCCCCTATTTGCCCATCTTCAGATGGTAACTGAAAAGCCAATAAAAGTTTGATAATGGGCACCTGAAGACTTTCCTCCTCAAACTTACTTATGATTGCATTGCCTTTCGCCCAACTCAGCGCTAAACTGTGTTTTTGTTCAGTGATTGGAGACACTACCCCATGTGAAAGACGCTATTTCAATGCGAGTTGTTGTTGTAGTCATCGACTCATTTGGGAAATCCTCCAGTTATTTTTTCATTGTATCGCCTTATATAATGGACAGTGCTTTAAGAAATTCTAATTCAATACATTTGGAAATGAACAATTATTTGAATCTTTTTAAAAATGTGACCCGACATAATATTTTATTGTGATTTCAAACTAAATACGATACAAATACAACTTAAATTTATATTTCGCCATTCCAATTGGGAGGATGTCTCAAAGGGCTTAACAATGAATCCAAACTGGAAGTGAGAGCCAAGGCATTAATTCAGACTGATATTGATTATTCTTTAACCCATTGCAGCAAATGACAAATCATTTATTTACCTAAATGTCAGTCATTTATTTAGCTGTAGAACAAGCAGCAAAAATATCATTACTGGAATCTATCTCTAGATCCATTTGATTAAATCTGCATTTCTCATGGCTGCAGTTTCAGATATAGTCTTGTGTGCTTTAGATTTAAAATAAATAAATAGATCAGATTTTTCATCATATTGCCTCATGCATTCTCCTTTCCCTTAATTCTTATTCAGCATCAAAAATATATATGTAACAAAATAAGCTAATAAACAACAGCACTATGCATACATGGGTATATACTATACCATTCTATTAATCTGCTATATGTTTCAACAGTGATATTGATCATTGAAAGTCAAAGCAAGCCAAAACAAAGCAATGTTTTTTCACTGTTGGTTTGGTTCATAAAATCTATATACCATATATAAACATAGGTCTTTAAACAGGTCTGTTGGAAAGAATGCAGAGCTAACCATTGAGAGTGGGATCAGTTCATTAAAGCCCTGACTGATATGAATGAAGCTTATTACTATCTGAGAAATGTTGGTAGCAGCAGAAGTATTCATTTCTAAATGTTGTGCTTTTAGAATAAGACATTGCTTAGCTTCAGAAAGCTAATGGTGAACTTTAAATGCTGCGTGGTTACTAATTGTATGGTCTTGTGTTCTTTACTGCCAATGCTTTAAAGCTACAAAATTAAAATATTAAAAAAAACTTTGCATTTGACATAGTCCTTTATCACCTCAATGAGACATCTCAAAGGGCTTCACAGGATATATTGTAAAGTGGATTGACACTATATTTTGTGGGTGAAACACGACAGCCAGTTTACGCCCAGCAGTGACCCACAAACAGCCATAGAGTGAGTGGCTGATTACATTTGCAGCATTTGTTGGCCAAGACACTGGGAGAAACTTCCTTTCTCTTCACGAATAGTGCCATGGGATCTTTAACATCCACCTGAATAGACAGACAGGATCCCGGTTGAACGTCTCATCCAAAGGACAGATGAGAATATTGTGAATAAAGACTAAGTACGCCTAGCAGCTGCATCAAAATATGCTGTACATTTTGAGGACGAGCATTTAGGTTTGATCCACCACCCTTTCACTCTCAAACGTAGGTTTGAATGCAATGGTGAAAGCATCCTCTGTACACTGGCTGTATGACTCCAATGTAAATGGTTTGGAGATTCTCCAGCTCATTAGCAGTAGGCAAGGATTCATAGCATCAAACTACCAACACTTCTGGGTTATAAATTTCTATTGGTATGAGAAATTGGCAATCTCACTCAAAGAGGCCACAGCACAGATAGTGTGAGAGGTCAGAAAATGTCACATTGGGTTCTGTTCTGGTTAAGGAAGAATTAGGACATGGAAAAAAGGTGTTTGAATCTGCATCTGGCATGTGAGTACTTCATATTGTAAATGGTGACAAGGTAAAACATGTTTTGTTTAAAAGCCGATTTCTGTTTCTGATGCAGTACAGACAAATGGTAGGTAAGCCCCATCTCTCTGCTGGCTCTGATGATTGTAAATAAAATGAATCCAGGCAGTCTCTCTTATGCCTTGATGTCTCCACAACAAAATAATTGGCCCTAATTTAACATTAGGTCAGAACGTGATTGACAGTCTTACTCAGAGAGGTCATCACTGGAGCATTTTGCATTTTGAAAACAGGAGTGACATGTGTATCATACATGTGTTGTGCTTTATCTTACTTAGAAGTATTTGATGGTACACTGACTTCTCAAAATAGAACAATAACACTCCTTATACGAAAACTCACAAAAACAAAAAACTTCCCCTGAGATCCATTTAATGACAACTCGCTACAATACACAGAAAATGTTTCGCTTCAGTCAACAATAAATCTGAGTTAAACCAGTATCTGCAAGTCAGCAAACAGTTCAGGACTTCCTGTCTTTAGGCCCAATTCTGAGTATTGTGCTCAGTTGATACGAATACTGTCCAGCGTGAAACTGAGCCTGAAAGGCTCAAAGGGTCCGAGTTTTAACCTACCATTTCCGCTAAGTAAACTCTTGTAATAGAATGAAAATGAGGAGCTGCATTGCACATAGGATAAGGAAGAGGAAAAATCAATCAGACTTTCTCCTCACTGACCTGCCAAGTGGACCACCCCAAACCCCTCACAATTAGAACATGCACCAGTGGAGATGTGGGGTGAATGTGACCCTCAGTGGCAATGTTGTCTCCATTGGTCAATTAGTTTGGTGACACTAACTCTCCCAGCTGACTTATGAAGAGTGATCATTTGGACAAGGTGGCATCCAATATCTGTGAAGCCATAACCCATCATAAGCAAACCTCTTCAAGGAAGATGGGGTGAAAATCCAAGGAGATTAAAAAATGAAGGTGCCCGGACAATTCAACGTGGTAAAAGAAATACAAGTTATATGACACTGATTAGTCAATTGGTGACAATAACATCCTATCTATGTAATGCAGCAAACATAATCTTGAATATATCATCTCTGTAGATAGAACAATATTTATGTATAAGTAATTAATTTAATAATGTGCAATAATAATCGCTAAATGATGTGGACATAAAGTTAATAATAATCCTTGTATTTTGATATAGTGCTTTTCACGTCTTCTCGACGTCTCAAAGCGCTTCACAGAAGAGACTGTAAAGTGAATTGACCGTATATTTGTGGGTGAAACGCGGCAGCCAATTGCACACAGCAGTGTCCCACAAACAGTCGTGGATTGAAAATGACCAATATATTATTGTTTTGTTTTGAAGTTTACAGCATCTCATGAGAAATTCTCTGTGTTAAGTATGAAATACAATAACCTTTGATCATCAGAAACTATCTCAGTATTTAATAATATTCCTTGCAATTGATACAGCGCTTTATCACACCTTTGAGAAGTTTCAAAGCACTTCACAGAATGTACTGTAAAGTGAATTGACTGTATATTTTGTGGGTGAAATGCGGCAGCCAATTGCACACATCAGTGTCCCACAAACAGTCATGGATTGAAGTGACCAATTCTTTATTATTGTTTTGTTGAAGGAATTATTACACCCAGAAAAGCGATCCGCTAATCGACTAACAATCGGGTTCCTATTTACTGCTAGGTAAACAGAGGTGTATGGAGTAAGGAAACTTGCCCAATATTTCACCCTGCCGGGAATTGAACCCAGGTGTTTTGCTTGCGAGGTGAGTGCTCTTACCACTGAGCTGCAGGACTCCACAACCCTGCAGATTAGAAAATATTTCCCTGCGGATTAGAAAAAAATATTCACCAGCTGAATCCCAATCCAAATAAAACAAAGAAAAAAGACAAGAGGACAGTTTGGGGAAAAACACATTGACAAACTGAGAAAAAAATACACATATCATTGAGTTTAAATATTTAAGGGGGAGATAGATGAATATTTGGTAAGCAATGATATTAAAGGATATGATGAAAGGGCAGGTAAAAGGTATTAACTTGAAGATAAATTATGATCAAAGAAAATGGCAGAACAGTATTGATAGACTGAATGGTCTATTCCTGTTCCTGGTTCTACGCTCCGAGCCACTACCCTGCTTGAAGGGTGCAATATAAGTTGTTGTGAGTTGTTGTTTTTCTCACAAACAACCAAGCGAATCCCAATTTTATCGGGAAATTGGTAACCAGGTCACAAGGAGATATTCCCTTCTCTTTTCAAATAGTGTCATGAGATCTTCAATATCCTCCTTAACAAGCAGATGAAACTTCGGTTTCAGCACACCTAACAATGCACATGTAATAATAATGTGATCACTTAATCCACAACTGGTTGTGGGACAGTGCTGTGCGCAATTGGCTGCCGTGTTTCACCCACAAAATATACATTCAATTCACTTTCCAGTATATTGTTTGAAGCACTTTGAGATGTCTCGAAGACATGGTGAGGGTGCTATATCAAATGCAAGGATTATCATTATGATTATTATTATTATTATTATTATAATGCAGCACTCTCTCAGCACAATGTAGTATTGTGAGCCTAGACTGGGAATTCAAAGACTCTCAAATGAGACTTCAGTCCACAACCTTCTGACTTAGAGGCAAGAATGCTATCAACCAATGCAGTTTGATATATTCTAGATAACACACAATAAAGTATTGAAAATATCCTTTGTGAGAGGTTGTACTGTGGAAAGATCCTGTACCACATCACTTGGTTTATCTAGTATGGAAAATTTGTATGACTCACATGCTGCCAAAGCACATGCTATTATAACAAACAGCACATTTGAATTAGCCATGATATGCAAAAGTAAGGTACTTTAGTCATTTCAAAAAAATGAAATTTACACAAAACATAGAGCATGGCACCTTACATTTCAAGGTGCTGCGAAGACTGTAGAATGTAAGTTCAAGTTAAAATTTAAGATGTGTTTGGGCATACCTGTGAAAGGATGTACACTTCATGTTAACACATACACATATCCATGCAAAAGAATGACACATAGTCACCCCACTGGGTAACTCTACACTGAGCTATACAGAACCTGTGGGTTGGTTTTGATTGATTCTCTATGAATATGAAATTGATCTTAGCTGAGACAATAGTTGGAGTGCTAAAATTAGCTGAACAATGGTTGGAAATATCATCCAGGGTTTGTAGTCTCAATGACTATCGATGCTGGAAAGTTTGTGTGCACAGGATTGGGCTCTGTCCTTTTGGCCCCAGTGTTGTTTAAGTTTGCCTAAAGAATGAGGATTTGAGTCAGGTGTCAGAGGGTATTAGTTCCTGTGGAACTGAACTACAACAAGGAGGCTGGATGAGGGAAGGGAGGAAAAGAACAAGACTTGTTATAATGAGTGTGGAGAATTTGTGGTTTTATCCTTGAAAAACAATTTCAAAAGACTTTAAATCTATCCACAGAAATTGGAATGAAAGCGAAAGCTTTGGCAACATACTTTAGTTCAAGCTATTTCCTAATCTACTTTATTCAAGATACAAATTAGTGCATTTGGTAGGGGATATCTTTAATGCAATGACTAGTTTTTTTTTCCTTCCACAAAAATAGAATTTCAGGTAATTTCAGGTTTTCACTCACACCATGCTAATATAATCTGATGGAGCAGTCTGCATGCATCCCAGAGTGGTGGTGTTTGCCAACATGAAGGTCAGGCCTTCTGACTACCACCGATGCTAAACCAGAGATATCTGAGCCCAGCAATGTCTGAGCTGTCTGAGCACCCACAGGCACCAGCATTTCAGAGTTCAGTGGACAGCTGAAACAGTGCCAAACCTTCATCACTCTTACAGTAACATGTCGGTAAAAAGAAAACACAAAGAAATTTTAAATGTAGAACGTCATCCATACACCTTGAAAATCGAAGACTCTGACAGATATTTAACATTGTTCCTTGCCTCGCCGGACCTCGACCAGTACATAGCAGCTTCACATGTCTAACAACTGCCAATGCTTACACACTGGACAGCAACACTGATGATTCCCCTACATAGCAGTGAAGCATTCTGAAGGAAAATAGGAATTAAGCAATGCTGCTAAATGCTGACAACGTTCGCAATTAATCATCGAGGAGGATTTCAGAGCACTGCTCAACAGCTGCCTTGGTTACTTTTACGTACTTAGTATAACTTCAACCAGTTTGGTCATTGACATCAGCCACTGTTGAGCCTGAGGTAGCCAATACGGCTGATCACTGGGTCCAGGAAACTGTTTAGTGTCCCAAAAATAAACAGTATATGGTTGATTGATTCGGGAAGTTGCTTTTTGTTTATCATTGCTGGAAAAAAATTGTACCAGAATCCGAGCACATAGTATGGGGTCCAGCAAATGATGAAGGTGCTTACGAGGACAATGGTCATCTTTAAGGTTTTCATTCGCACTTTGGGAATGTAGTTTCTGGTACATCTCAATCCCATGTCTTTGGAGATAACTGGAAAACAAACAATTAATGTAACCATATAATGACGAAGCTTCAAAATTCAATTGTGAAAGTAATCATATGTTATTCAGAACAGAAAACTTTTCTATACTTTCCAGAGGGTAAATCTGTAACAACAGCTTCCATTTATTTAGCACCCTTTATGAAAGATAATGTCTAGGAGCATTTCACAGGTCGAACGCCAAGCAAGGGAGAAAACAAGGGGGGACAGGGGCTGTAGTGGGGGGGTGAGGAGTGGCAGTTTTTAGACTGAATTTATAGACATATGGAGAGACGAGATAGAGGAGTTCCAGAAATTAGGAGTGTAGTACTTCATGGTGGTCATAGGAGGATTTAAAGGGAGATGGTTAAAGTAATTTTCGTACACTTATTAGAACATGGGACTATTGAGTCAGAGACCACAACAATATTTAAGAGCAGAATGGTTAAACATTTGAAGAGCAGCAATATAGAGTACAAGGGAAAACAGCACATAATTGAGAATAGGATATAGAGCTCTAGTAAAGAAGTTAGTATCAGCATTAAAGTGTCTAATGGCCTCCTTTTGTACTGTAATTAATTCCTGCCATTCTATAAGTCTGAATGATCAAAGGAAATACATGGCAGGTGAGTTAGCATCTGAGAAAGAAGAGACGTGCATTACATCCTCTCTTAGATGTCTCCTTTCATGGCTGAAGATCTCAAACTTGTCTAATCATTGCTCATTATTCACTCCTCTGGAGATCATCCTTGTTGTTCTCCTCTGCACTAGATCTAGGGTCCAGGAAACCCCGAGTAGGCAATACTCTAGGTGAAGTATGACTACTAACATCTTACATTTATATAGTGCCCTTCGCACGGGGTAGCGTCTCGGAGACTGAGCAATTGCATAGTTTGATACTCAGCTGGAGAGAAAGGGGAGTTAAATGTAAACATGGTCAGAAAGGAAAGGCTTCAGCTACCATATGAAGACAGGTAAAGAGAGGGCATGATGGATGGATTGAGGCGAGGAGTTCCAGAGTTTCAAACCATAGTGACTGAAGGTACGGGCACCGATGCTGAAGCAAATGAGTTGGGGGACACAGAGAAGGTCCAACTTGGCTGAGCAAAGGGGGAAGGTGGAAGAATGGGGTTATAATAATAATAATAAAATCCTTGCATTTGATATAGCGCTTTTCACGTCGGGAGGATGTCCCAAAGCGCTTCACAGAACACACTGTAAAGTGAATTGACTGTATATTTGTGGGCGAACGCGGCAGCCAATTGCGCACAGCAATGTCCCACAAACAGTCGTAGATTGAAAATGACCAATTTCTTATTGTTTTTGGAGGGATTATTTGGATGACACAAAGCATCACTAAAAGAATAAAGGGAGAGGTTCAAGTTTTTTTTCAAACATGCAACATACTATGAGGTCTAAAATGCAGTAAAATAAAGGGGAATTAATGACTGGAATGGTTTATTAGGAAGGATAGTTGAGGCAAGAACCCTGGACTCATTTTAAAAAACTGTTTGATGCTGTGATTGGGTGGGGGGTGGTGGGTGGGTGATCTGGAAGGATGCAATCAGATGGATCAAAGAGCTTTCTTCATCCCAAACCAACCTTGTGATCTTGTGCAATCTTTTCACAGTAAAAAAGAGTCAAATGGAATACTTACTCTCTGCATTCATCTTCCGTGTAATGCAGATCAATATACTGGTGTAACAGAACACCATGATGATGAGAGGCAGCAAGAAGAGCCACATGAAGGTGAACAAAAAGTAAACCTTTTGCTGCCAATGCTCTGTAAAACTGCCATGGGTCACACACTGCGTGAAGGGAGCTGGCACGGAGATGGAGACTGTGTGGAAGAGGAAAAGCTGCAATAGAAAAATTAAGCCACTGATCAGTAACACAGTAGTTATATTTGCATATAGCAAGTTAAAATAAGCATATGTCAAACTAGGAGAAATTCCTGTATCATAGAATTATACAGCACAGAAGGAGGCCATTTGGCCGGTTCTTTGAAAGAGCTATCCAAATCAACCCCACTCCCAGCTTTCTCCTCATACCCTTGCAAATGTTTCCCCCCAAAATATCTATCTAATCCAAATGTATATTTAATTCAATTGGCTGCCGCATTTGGCCTGCAAAATATAGTCAATTCGTTTTACAATATGTTCTGTGAAGTCTTTGAGACATCTCGACAATATAATGAGGCACTATATCAAATGCAAGGATTATTATTATTTTTATTATTATTTAGCATTTCAGAGAATGCAGAATTTAGCAAATTGTCGAATTCAATCTTATCTTTGAAGCAGTTTTCTCTAAGTGCCGTTAAGAACTACAGAAAAGTGGCTTAAAAATGAAGACCGAATTCAACAGTTTGTCAAAATCTGGATACTCTAAAATGCTACATAAATAGAGTTCACATAGACTCAGATGGAATTTCTCCCATTAACTACAAATGACATTTAGCATGATGCATTGAAGCATCTTGCTGTTTCTAAGAATAGTAATAATATTATATGATAGAGCGTCTATAATGCCAAAATGTCTGAAAGCACTTCACAGACAATTGCTTTCAAATGTAATGACTACGGGGTCAGCATTCCATGATAATGCTATGAGAGATTAGCCTCTAATTTGGGAGCATATCTGCACTGTTTGGAATGAAATAAAGGATCCACCGGTAAGGGTAGGAAGGCTTTAACAGGAGGCGTTTGAATGTAGTTAATTGTTATGGTTTGCCTGTAACCTACACATCTCATAATGAAGTCATGTTGTGTGCATCATTACCATAGGTTCAAGAGGAGGCCCATGCTGTCTGATTTGCATTCAGCAAAGGTGAAAGAACAACAACTAAATTACATTTGTATAGCGCCTTTCACATTGGGAGGATATCCCAAGGTGCTGGACAATCAGTGTTTCAGACCCGAGCTGGAGGTCGGGATCGGGGAGGGTGGAGGGCAAGGGGGGAAGGAGGCTGATCGAAGCACGGTTGAAGAGGGGTGTCTTGAGACGGGTTTTGAAGGAGGCAAGGGAGGTGGCAAGGTGGAGGGACTGCAGGATGGAGTTACAGAGGGCGGGGGCAGAGTGGTTGAAGGCTGGCACACCAATGGTGGGGCGAGCGAGGCAGAGGACGTGAAGAAGGCCGGAGCCCACTGAGCAGAAGAACAGGCAGGATGGTAGGGGGTTACGAGGTCACAGAGGTAGGGGGTAGCAAGACCATGGAAGGCTTTGAAGCTGAGGACCAGAGTCTTGAACTGTATCCTCTGTGTGATGGGAAGCCAGTGGAGTCGGGTGAGGATGGGGATGATAGGGTCACAGAGCCTGGTACGGGAGAGGACATGGGCTGCAGAGTTCTGGATGATCTGCAGCCTATGGAGGGCGCTATATAAATGCAAGTTGCTGTTGTTGTACCCTTGACATCATAACGTAGGCATTCCCAGGACTGCTTGATGTTTTGCCAGCCTGTCATGATCACTCTTCCTTGCATGGTTACAATAGTTAACTGTCTCATCAGCTTGCATCTTTCTGAGGTTCTGTATTCTAATCCATACATTGGCTCTGCAGCCAGACACTTGTTCAATGCTGTCCTTAGTACACTATGTTGGCCATGGAATAAGTCTACTAGCACAATAAGAAAATGTACGCTAGCCTTAACTCTCCAGACATTCAGTTATCAAAATTTCATCTTCAAGACCCTTAGTTCCATCAAGTCTCAGCCTGTAAGACCATTTTATTTTAAAATTGAAGGTCACCGAAAATTCTTAAATTCAGTTCTAATTTGGTAGCGAGTTCTTGTAAAGAGCAGCAGAAATCAAACTTTCAAATTAAGATTGAATTTAAGTTTTTTTTACAATTTAAAATTTTAAAACAAAATGATTTTATGGGCTAAGACTGGGTGGAATTTCTCCCACTGTTTGTTTGTAGTGTGCAAAAGGGATTTATGCACCAGCAGTACAACTTGAAGTTCTTATTGAGCACATTGACAGTGTTCACAATTATCACTTTTAAAATTAAGTTAACAAACTTCCTAAGAATTTCACTTTCAAGTGTTTCACATTTAAAATGCAGCTTGTCACAGAGCTGTTAGTGCCCTCGAGTGTAAACAGTTTTGTGTTTTCAATGCCAAGATGAACTCTAAAATCAGGAAATTCTACACTCGAACCAGCAAACCTCTATATTACTGCTGAAATCAATGTACTTGCAGTAATTTTCCTTAGATTTTCCCTCACTGCTGCTTCTCTTTGCATTCAAAAGTGTGGGACCATGCAGAGATCAAAACTATCCACTCTTGTTATTGATGCTGTTCTAGTGAAGTGAAAACACTTCGTACTTTCACATGGTTTTATCTTTGTGTCTCTTTTGTGTCACACAAAGAATGCTATTTTTAAAATAAATTGGAAGTGTTTCTAATGCTTTTCTTGGTAAGCTTTTGAAAGTGATCACTTTTAACTTTATAAAATGGTAAACATGGGTGATATTCTTTTTCTTTCTAGGTGTGGGAACAAAGCCTTTGATGGCATTTATCCTGGAGTTTTACTCATTTAGTAACAGTGGGGAAATGCAGCTAAGAGCAGTTAGCATTGTAGTCATAAAGATCCATATCATGTTAGCAATGGTGATATTTAACAGCCTCACTCAATAGCAGTAGATTGCTATCTAATTACAAGTTGTGTGAACCCTGTGTAAAAACATGTGTAAAGAAGGAATTATCAATGCCCCTAGATTTGGTAATTAACACCCAATAAAAAATAAAACCTATTTGTAGTGATATAATTAAGACTAATAAGAAAAATATTAATAATAATGATAATATTCCTTGGAATTTATCTAGCATAGTATCGCATCGTCAAAATGTCTCTAATGATTCACAACATTTACTGTAAAGTGTAGAAACTTTGTACACTTAGACAAACATAGCAGCCAATTTGCTCCCAGCAATATTGCACAAACAGCCATGAAGTGAATGATGAATGTTATCTGGAGGATTGTTGGCCAGGATACAGGGAGAAACTCCCTTCTCTTCTCAAATAGTGCATGGATCTTCAACATTCACCTGAACAGATTGACTGGTTTAATGACTAGTCTGAAGGAGGCATCTCCAATAATAGTGTTCCCCCGGCCTGGACCATGGGGTCAAAGTCCCAATGTGGGGGCTATTGGGTGGGATGGGGAGAGGAAAGATGACCAAAAGCACGGACAAAGGAAAGGTCATTGGGAGTTAAAGTGTCTGTTTAAGATTTAAGATAAGATTTAAAGATAAGATGTTTAAGATAAGATTGATCATTCACTTCATGGCTGTTTGTGCAATAGTGCTGAGAGCAAATTGGCTGCTATGTCTGTCTAAGTGTACAAAGTTTCTATATTTTACTGTAAATCTTGTGAACCATTAGAGACATTTTGACGATGCGATAATGTGCTAGATAAAGTGTCAAAAACATGCTAACGTCGAAAGCATTATTCTAGCATCTAAATAAACAATATTCAATTCCATTAATTCTTCATAATATTTTGACAAGTATTACTAAATTCCAAATGGGATACTTCTCTGTGTTACAGATCAGATCAACATAATTGATCAGATAGATAGATCACACTGTGTTATTTGAAAAATTTAATTTAAACATTTCCTAATCCTTACATTTTTAAGGTTAGTATCAGAGACTCAATGGTTTTAAGTTGATTACATTTTGTGATTTTAATTCAGATTCCTTTCAAAGTTTTCAAAAATAAATTGTAAAATCATTTGAGGCTAAGGCTTCAATTCAGAGGACATCAAATTGATTTGATTCATTTGATTGAAGTCTGTGGATTGCAAATTTTAAGAGGTGCATTCAAGTTCAAGCAAATAGCATCAAAATGCTATTCATCTAAATGTTGATGTAAAACAACTTGACGTTCCGTAGAACATGTTGTTGAAGAATTGCAATACTTAGTTGAAGATCTGCAGTCTTTCCATGGCAAACAGGAATGGAAAGAGTTATCCCATGCTACACAGTTAATACACATCTCATTTCTGCTCCCCCCTTAAGCATCAATGAACCTGAAATATAGGCACAAGTTGCTGTATTATTTATTGAATGTGCCCCTGGACCTATAGCTAATGCAGCAAACTGTCTAGCACAGACAATTTATTGGAAAGAATGAAATTCAATTGACTCACTTGACAAAATTGACACTATTGGCAATTCAATCCAAAGACTAAAGTATGCTGAATTGATATCTGTAAGGTTTGATTTATTAAAGTAACATAGCCTTTATCTGTATCTGTGTGGAGTGAAGGTAAAATAATGTTACATTTAGTTTGTGACAAAATTGCTTTGATTTTAGCAGCAATTGCTAACAAGTGTGCAATAAACATCAGCGTTGATATGGCTGGGGTGTTATTTCTGGAGCACCTTGAGGAGGTCCTCTTAGGAGTCAGTTTCTTGTGGTGTCCAGGTTTAAGATTCCTGCTTCTCCTTGTATTGCATTGCATTGGTGGTGAAAGTTTTTCACCATGGGGGTGGGAGGGGGGGGGGGGGGTGAAGCCAGAGGTTGGGTGTGGGGGTGAAGTAGCGACAAAGACGCAGAGTGATTGCCGGGCTCCACTGACGCGTCCATCCTCACGATCGACGACAAGTATCCTCAAGGTGGAATCGATCGCTGGGGATTCTCACCTGGCTCAGGTTAAAGTAAAATCATCCCAAACACCAGTGACAGGAACACGAAAAGGGTGGTTTATAAACTGGTTGCATGGCACTTGAACTGCGTCAGGCTGACTCAGAGATGGGACTGTCTTATCACTGAACCAAGCTCACCATCGACAGAATATTTTTACTTTAGGGGCAATGGCACCAGAATAAATTTTAAGTGGGGGTGCTGAAACCCCAATCCTAGTGCTGTTGCTCCTCATCCCCCCGATTACCTCCCCCATTTGTCAGAAACTAACGTGATGGTAAATCATTTATCATCACACCAGCTTCTGACCAGTGGCAGAGGTAATAAGAGCATACTTGTGCCCCTAAAACATTTTAATATTTTACTCGGGGTGAAGGGGGGGGGCATTAGCCAAAGTTCTGCCGCTAATGTTCCATTGATCTACAATTAGATTCCATCAGATTAATTAGGTGGTTAATACTAGTTTGAAATAGTTTGGGATTGAATGATCTGCGTTATGCTATGTTTATGGAAATGGGATGAGTTACATTTATGCCGTTGGATATAATTTGTAGATGAATATAAAGGGAAAACAGAATTCCTGTTGATTGGTGACGTATTTCTGGTTACCAGAAGAAGCCTCTTCTGTACAAATCCAAATTCTTTTTTAAGCAATCCCATTAAGAAATAAGAATTATATTCCTTGCATTTCATATACATATCACATTGTCAAAACGTCTCAAAGTGCTTCACAGGATATATTGTAAAGTGTAATAACTTTGCATTTGTAGGCGAATGCCTATACCTGTAAATACTGCAACTTTCTTTCTATCTCTTGATCGACTTCAAGATCCTTACACTCGTCAACAAATCCCCTCATACCTGGCACCTCCCTACCTCCCTGACCTGCTTACTGCTCTCTCCAACCCTCGCCACCTCCGCTCGACTGGCTCTGTCCCTCATCCCCTCTGCGCCACTATGGAGCTCTCTCCCTCAATCCCTCTGCTTTGCCTTCTCCTTCCCTATTTTCAGATAACGACAGAAGACCTTTCTATTTGACCGTGCCTACAGTCACCTCCCATTTCTCTACGTCTTGGCATCAGGCTCTGCCACTATTAAGCACTCTGAAGTAATGGGTGCTATACAATTGCAAGTTGTTGTTATTATCTTTTGTTGAAGGGTCCATATTGAACTGATTTGAATGCTCGCACACTATTTTCGATATTGTTGTGCACACGTCGGCTAAGTGTATTTGCCTATCTGTCATACCACTGTACTACATTTTACAGACTATCCTGTGAAATCCTTGGGACATCTCAACATGTAAGGTGGTATATCAAGTGCAGGAATTATTATTATCAATAAACACATTAAAAAAAAAAGTTTGCTAAGTCCTTTTTTTTCCCAGGACAATGCTTCTTTAAATAGCCAGGGTAACAGTCTCCTTCACATCTTGCTTGATGTTAACATCATTACATCCAGTCCCACTCCCCAGATAAAATGCGGCTTGTTGTATTTCTGGGCATTATTACCTGAGGTGTAGCCAAAATGACGCTGAGAGTCCAGGCGACCAGGAGCATGGTCCTGTTCCTCTCCTTGGCCCTGGTGATGGCCAACGGGTGCAGAATGGCACAGTAGCGATCCAGGCTGATCACCGCAGTGATGAAGGCGCCCGAGTACATGGAGAGCAGCTTGAGGAACATGAGGAGTTTGCAGGCCAGGTCTCCAGCATACCATTGCACGGTGGTGTTCCAGGCAGCGTCCAGGGGCATGACAATAAAAGTGACCAGCAGATCAGAGCAGGACAGGTTCAGGATCAGCATCCTCAGGTGGGACCGGCTGCCTCCTCCCTTGCTCCTCAGGGCGCTCCACAGCACGGTCAGGTTGAGGTAGGCGGACATGAGGAAGATGGCCAGGGTGATGACCACCCTGACCTTGGCGGCTGCGGAGAAAGTGGGCAACAGGAGCTCGTTCTCCCCACCGGGAACACTGCTGTCCTTGGTGCTGAAAGCCCCATCGCGCTCCGAGCTCCCGTTACACCCGCTGCTGTTGTAGAGGGGGAAATCCCTGCTGAAGAGTAACGTGTGCTTCATCTGGATTTTGCTGCTCCACTCTCTGCCTTATCTTTCTCTCTCTCTGTGTGTGTGTGTGTGTGTGTGTGTGTGTGTGTGTGTGTCTGTCTCTCTCTCTTTCCCAGTGGCTGCACAGTTAGCATCTGGACAGATGCCACTCAGGGGCTGGTGGTTCTCGGTTTCTCAGAGAGGCTTCATCCAGATGCCTCCTCCTGCAGTCACACGGCCCCCGGGAGGAGGTGGGTTTGGGCACCTGATCTGATCTGCTCTGATCTGCTGTGCTGTGCTGTTCTGGGTGACTCACTTTGGCTGCCTGTGAAGTTGCGTCCACCTCGGGGAAATGGACCGATGCGCAAGTTACGATACAATTACTCTGCAATGTGCTCCTTGTTTGCGAATCCCCCCCTCCCCGAGACCTTACCGCAGCAGCACTGGGAGAGAGAGAGAGAGAGAGAGTCACACAGCTGTGCAGTGCAAACACAGCTCTGTGCGGTCCGTCTTTCACACCCAACACCACTACAACGATTGATGCATCACTCACATTGCTTTTCCTGAAATATTGCTAATAGTGCAGAACTTTGCTAATAAATAAAAATCAAGACACAGAGAGAAGCGAGAGGGACATCTAGTTATCCCTCTTTACTTTTGTCTTTTTATCCCAGATTGAAAATAATAATAATAATAATAATAATAATAATGCATCGACACATCTATCTAGTGTCTACTTGGTTTTAATCCGATTTTATGAATGAAGACAATAAACCGTGGAGTGAATTACCAGCAATGGTGCATATAAATGACACATTGCTCAGAAGGTCTTCTTGTTCGCTTCTGTGCAGTCTGACTGAGTTATCCATCATTCACAAACCAAAAACATGGGGCAAATCTCACCCAGAGATTACACTCAACATAATATTTACAGAAGTCGATTTTTTTTTTGATTTATCTTTTTTTTTTGCCCCGCAATGTGACACCCCGAACATTGTTTTTTTTTGGTGGATCAGAATCTGCAGTGTGGGAATGTTTTGCCTTGTGAATGCCGCAGTGTGCATCAAACCTGTCCCAAACCCCCGGTTGGTGAAGGTTTAGTGGGCAGTTGCGTTTTAGGCAAATACGTTCAAAGTGACGCTGATACTATCAGTTAGATTTTTCACACCAAAATAAACGCCGATCTTGCAGATCGCCAATGATATTTCAAGCCCACACACTGCACAGTATTCGGGTTGCTGTGTCGACTTGGAAGGTCAGTCGCTGCCTGAGCCAAACATCTCCTTGGGATGAATACCGAGAATCCGATTTATTGGGAATTAATCCCATTTCGTAGGGGTTGTAGCAATCCTCCAGCACTTCGTCAGAAAGTGTGTGATTAGAATTAAAACTGGAAGGCGCGGTTAGCAATAAAATGTTTAGCTGCATTGCACAGACAACAACGACAACAACAACAACAAGATTGCATTTATAGAGCGCCTTTCACGTCGGGAGGGCGTCCCAAGGCGCTGGACGGTTGGGTCAGGACCCGAGCAAAGGGGGGGAAATGGTCAGGGTGAGGGGAGGGAAGGGAGGGAGCGAGGAGGGGGGAAATGGTCAGGGTGAGGGGAGGGAAGGGAGCGAGGAGGGGGGAAATGGTCAGGGTGAGGGGAGGGAAGGGAGCGAGGAGGGGGGAAATGGTCAGGGTGAGGGGAGGGAGGGAGCGAGGAGGCGGGGAAATGGTCAGGGTGAGGGGAGGGAAGGGAGCGAGGAGGGGGGAAATGGTCAAGGTGAGGGGAGGGAAGGGAGCGAGGAGGGGGGAATTGGTCAGGGTGAGGGGACGGGAGGGAGGGAGGGAGCGAGGAGGGGGTAGAGAGTCGAGAGGGGAGCTGAAGGCACGGTTGAAGAGAAAGGTCTTGAGCCCGGCCTTGAAGGAGGAAAGGGAGGAAGCAAAGCGAAGGCACTGGGGGGTAGAGTTCCAGAGACACACACTGCTGGGATGAGGAAACAATAAGGGACCTGATTTGCGATTACAAATACAATGAGTTGTATTTTTATCAGCGATCCAGCTATATCTGCACCTCGAGCCAGCTGGAGAAGGCTGGGTACATTCAGATATGGAAATACAGAATTATGGTGAATACTGTAGTTTCTCTCCCCTCTTCTGTGAAATTGTTGACTTAACCTGAGCCCCTGGTCCAGTCCAGTGTGTATGTATATTTAGGATATTTAACCCCAAATCAAACTATCTATTTTTTCCACCTTTCAGATTTATTATTTTCTAGAAGTCATCCCAAGGGGAATTTGTAAACAGCACAGCTACCCACACAGCCTCCATAGTATTAATCAATACTCAGCATTCACCTACAATTACAGTCACTACACTTTACAGTAAATCCTGTGATGCACTTTGAGACATTTCCGGGACTTGATAAGGCGTTATATTAAATGCAAGGATAATTATTAATATTAATGTATCTCATCCCTGGGGACCCAGTATGACTGGTCTAAACGGCATGATGAACAATAATCCTTCGATTAAAACATGGCTTCAATGCCCAGATTTACCTCTTTGCTGGCTTTTCTGTGGAACAAGGACTATTCCAGCAGCCGAGAAATGCCCAGTCATCAGATAGTAAATCTTTAGAGTGGATTGGTTTTATCCATCATAAAGCAAATGACAGCAGAGCCATAATGTAATTGGAGCTTTCATTCAATTACACCACTGCATAAAATTAGTGGTAGGTTCACAGATACATTTCAAGAATTTTATAAAGCAGAAATAAGACTGACATATTATAATCCTACACAAGACTTAGCTCTGAATTTACAAAGGAGCAAGTATTGCAGTGTGGTGACAAATGCACTTGCTTAACTGTACTTTCATAAAAATAAGGTGGAACAGCTACGAGGCAAATTCATCGCACATAATAGTAATAATAAGGTTATTATGACTATCTTTCACCTGCTTAAAACATTCAGACTTGTGTGGAAATGCATTATAAATTCTGATTTTGGCAATCAATTAATCAATGAATTGCAAGTCTGCTCTAATGGAAAGAAAGAGTAACTTGCATTTTGAAAGCATCTTGCCAGATTGAAACCTTTCAAAGCACTTTAGAGTAATTACTGTAAAGTGAGTGCAGTGATTGTTTCTGTATGCAACCACAGCAATGTTATCGTGCACAGCAATCTTCCACAAACAGCCATAAGGTGAATACTACAATTTACTACTGCAACTTGCATTGATATAGCGTCCTTCACTGGGGGTGGCGTTCCGGAATGCTTCACAGTGACAGAGACTGACAAGGAGCCAAGGGGAGAGGGAGGGATGGCGGTAATCGTAAGCACAATCAAGAAGAATAACTAATTTATCAAGGAGAAACTCCAGATAAAGAAACTCCATTATCTTTTGAATGGTGTCTTGGGATCTTTAACGTTTACTGGAAGAACTGGCAGATAGGAATTTGGTTAACATCTGATCCAAAAGACAGCAGCTCCAACAATGTAACATTACCCCACTATTATACTACAAGGTCAGCCTTAAGTAGGAGCTCAATTTAAAAATCACCACCACCACAACAACAACAACCTGCACTTACTATATACAGCGCCCTTTGTGTGGAAACAAGGGACAAGCAGGAGCCCAGAGCCACCTGAGTAGAGCCAGCTGATAGTGGAATGGAGTGAAGCAGGTCAGAAAGGTAGGGAGATATCATGGCATGAAGGGATTTGTAGAGGATTGAGAGGATTTTGAAATCGATCATTCTGTGAATGGGAGCTTGTGGAGCCTGGCGAGGGCTGGTGTGATGGGCATATGGAGCCAAGACCACAGAGAGGGAATTAAGGAGGGGGTGAGAGAAACTGTTACAACCATATATTTATACGTATGAGTTTACATTGTCTTATAGTCGTGGGAACTATATTTAAATAAAAATCTCTCTTACTATGCATAGTGCATAGTAAGAGAGAAGTGGAGCTATGTAGCTCAGTGGTTAGAGCACTCGCTTTGCAAGCGAGAGACCTGGGTTCGATTCCCGGCAGAGCGAAACCTTGGGCAAGTTTCCTTACTCCACACGCCTGATAATAATCCCTCAAAAAAAAACGAATAATAAATTGGTCACTTCAATCCACGACTGTTTGTGGGACACTGCTGTGCAGGATATTGCATTTCTCCCACAAATATAAAGTCAATTCACTTTACAGACACTTTGAGACGTCTAGATGACATGAAAAGCACTATATCAAATGCAAAGATTATTATTATTATTACATAGTTCATTTCTTAAAAATAAAGAGTGGCTTTCCAAACACATTAGAAACTGCTAATCTGTTTTCAGTACAGTCATGTTAGTCACTGAAACATTGTTCTTGGTTTTGAGTCTCACAAAGTTTGGACAATTGAATTTAAGAGACTCAAACTTGTTTAGTATCTTTGTTCAGCTTTGCTGCTTTATTTATGACTTGTCTCAGTACATCTGAGAAGTTCCTTACCGCCTCTGCGAATTCAGCTATAATTAGCTGTACTCTGTGCATCATCAATATTTTCCAGTTTCATAATTACTGTTTTGAGACAGCAATATTTATGTGTGTGTCAATTCAAACAATCAAGCAATATATTAATTTTAAAAAATTCATGGCACAATGTTCCTACATAATAATCTAACAGAGGAGCTCTTGAAATAATAGGCTTCTTCACCAATCTTATGTCTGTATAAAATTTATTTCAGTCTTTACTTTGTAGGAGTACACAAAGACATTTGTTGATCTCAACTTTATTGATTGAGTTTTAGTAAGGATCTAGCTTGTACAAGAAAAAAAACTCTGCTAAGTAAAAGTAACAGTTGGAAAAGAATCAACCGATAAAAGCTTTTAAAAAAACACACACAACACAAAATACAATTATTTGTAAAATGTAAAATATCATGGTTTTGATCAATTCTAATGTTCAGTGCCACTCAAAGTAAGTTAGAAATTGTGTTAGACACAAGTTAAGCCTATGAATATTTACAATCAAATTAATTTCCTTCATTTTGCATAATCGGAGAAATTGT